ACACTGATCCTTCTCCCACTGAATCGATTCACAGCAACCCCATAGGACAGAGCAGAACTGCCAAGAGGTTTTCAAAACTGTAAACTTTATAGAAGCAGACTGTCTCATCGTCCTCCCTCAGAATCACTCTTAGGTAAAATATTATTAAACTAAAAAACAAACAAACAAACAAAAAAACCACTGCCATTGAGTCTACCCTTCTTTGGGTTTCTGAGGCTGTAAATTTTTATGGAGAAAGACTGCTCATCTTTCTCTCAAGTGATTAGTGGATTTGAACCATCTATCTATGTGGTAGCAGACCAGTACATTAAGCATTAAGCCACCAGGGCTCCCCAAAGACATGTCCAAGATCACTGCTACAGAGTGGAGTAAGATTCTGAGGCTGTAAATCTCCACTAGAAGATACAGCCCATCTCTCTTTAAGAGACTCTTGGGGGTTTGAGCTGCTGAAGACATGCTATGGGTTATGCCACCAGAGCGCCTGAAAACACTGGTAGTACTAAAGACTCCATAACTGCCACCCAAGCAGATATATGCACACCTATGTTTATTGTGGCTTTGTTCACAATAGCAAAAAGCTGGAAACAACCCAAGTGCCCATCAACAAATGAATGGATAGAAAAGTTCTGGTATAGCCACACAGTGGAATACCATGCAGCACTGAAAAACAAAGAACTCATGAAATATTATGCAAAATGGATGACACTGGAGGACACTATGCTAAGTGAAATATCGCAGTCACAAAAGGACGAATATTGCATAGGGCCACTGTTGCAAAATGGGACTGACATCAGGGTTGAGGGAAGACAGAAAAGGAGGGGAGGAATGATGTATATTGCACTGGAACAGATGAGGGAGAGATCTGTTTAAAAGGGATATACGAATGTATATTCTTGTCATTACAGAAGTCCAGAGTGAAGGCTACATAGTAGAATGAACTTGGGGGTAGGGATTGCATAACAATTAAAGAGCTTTTCTTTTTCTTTTCAAGGACAGGAGTTATTTGGGGGGAGAGGGGGTCGGCAAGGAGAAAAGTGCAACAATGAAGGACTGGAAATCCTAAGTCTCTGTAAACTTTCATTAAAATTAATAATAATAATAATAATATCATCATCATAATAATAAAGACTGGTAGTACTAGTCAAATGCTATGTTCTGGCCTTCAAGAGTCAGGTAATTCAGGAAGGACAACAGAAAGAAAAAGACAGAAAAGGTTTCCCTTCTGGACCTCAGACCACTTCTGTGTTAAGGTTTTGAAAGGGCAGGGCTTTGTCTCGACCAGCTTCTCACTCCTGTGCGTGTCCCTCTTATGCCTTGATGGAACGCTATCTGGCCCTCGACTCCCAATCTTTGAGATGCTGAGTCTCCTCCATGAAGACCTTACTTAAGCCTGACTAAAGGAACAGTTCCCCAGATGCTCTACGCAGCACTAATGTTTCCTAACATACATTACAGACAACAGCCAGTTTAGTCAAAGCAAGTAAAGCAGACAGAGACAGCTAGGAAAGCAATCTGATTGACTCACATATAATAAATGCCCACAACTTTTTCACTCTATTAACACTACTTACAAATAATACTAAGTACACCAAGTGTAAGGAATCCTGGTGCTGCACTGGCTAAGGGCTCTGCTACAAGGGCCAGCACTTCAGACCTGTCTGCGGGAGAGGGATGTAGTGATCTATTTCCACAATGAATGAAAACGATATAAAGCAGTTCTACTGGTTCAAAATTGAGAAGGATATGTGCCAAGGATGTGTCCTGTCTCCATATCTTTTCAATCTATATGCAGAACAGATTATCCGGGAGGCTGGGCTCTATGAGGAGAAATGTGACATCAGGATTGGAGGAAGACTCATCAACAATCTGTGTTATGCAGATGATACAATCCTGCTTGCTGAAACTGAGGAGGACCTGAAGTGCTTGCTGCAGAAGGTCAAGGACTGCAGCCTTCAATAGGGATTGAGGCTCAATATCAAGAAAATAGAAATTCTTATCACGGGGCTGATTGCAGCATCATGATAGATGGTGAAGAGATTGAGATTGTTGACAGCTTCAGTTTGCTTGGCTCTACAATCAACACTCTTGCTACCAGAAGCCAGGGAATTAAAAGACAAATTGCATTGGGAAAGTCTGCTGTCAGAGACCTCTCCAAAGTACTGAAGAGCAATGATGTCAGTATGGAGACTAAGGTGTGCTTGATATAGGCCATGGCCTTGCAATCACATGCATCAGAAAGCTGAACAATGACTAGGGATGATAGAAGGAGAGTTGATGCCTTTGAGCTGTGGTGCTGGGGAAGAGTATTGAATATACCATGGACTGCTAGAAGAACAAACAAGTTCATCCTGGAGAGGGTGAAGCCAGGCTGCTCCTTGGAGGCAAGGATTCTGAAGCTCCATCTGACATATTTTGGACATGCTGCAAGGCAGGATCAGTCCTTGGAGAAGGACATCATGCTTGGGAGAGTGGAGGGACAGCACAGGGGAGGAAGAGCCTCGAGGAGATGGATTGATTTAGTCACGGGGGTAGTGGGGGTAGGACTGTCAGATACAGTGAAATAGGCACAGGATAGAGCAGGGTTTAGGGCTGATGTACATAGGGTCGCTATGAGTTGCAGATGACTCGATGGTATATAATAACAACCACAACTCTGTCCTGTGGGGTCTCTACAAGTCAGTCAACTCTGTGGCAGTAGGTTTGGCTTTTGCTTTATAATAGATGTTATGGCACAGAAGAAAAGACCCCGGATGAGACAGATTAATACAGTAATGGGGCAATGGGGGTAGGTGAGTCAGAGTCAGTGAGACTGGCTCAGGACAGGGTAGACTTCAAAGCTGCTGTACGTAGGGTCTCCATATGTCTCAGGTGACTTGACAAAACATAACAACAACAACAAAAATAGATGTTACAAAGGAGTCATGGTGGTGAAGAGCATTAAGTTCTGGGCTAGTCACAGAAAGGTTGGTAGTTTGAACTCACCAGCTGCTCCATGAGAAAGACAGGCAATATCCCTCAGTTAAGATGTACAGCCTCAGAAACCCAAGGGAGAAACCACAGGATCAACTCCACCCAGTGGCTTCTGTTCTCAAGTGTCCTAAATGGATTTCTCACTGGTAGGATTTCACGCACCATTGCTAAAAGGAACTTGTTAGTACTCTCACATCTTGAAGGGAGATACCCACTGGAATGCCAACAAATCCCTCTGAGCAAGGGCTTGAGCTTCTCACAGGGTACCATCTTCATCGGGGAAGAGTCTTTGACTGTCCTAATTAAGTAGAAGGAGCTCTGGTGGCCTAGTGGTAAAGTATTGCACTGTCAATCCAAACACATGCAGCTCGAAGCCACCAGCAGTTCCGTGGGAGAGAGATGGGCAATCAACTCTTACGTGATTTACTGCCTCTGAACACCCACTGGAGGTCAGTTCTGAGCCAGTCCCAACCTGACGGTACATAACAACAATGAAGCATGACTTCTGTGGATCTCCCCAGGCTTTCTGGATGCCCCAGGGTTTCTGACACCTCACTCAGTGAGGCACAGGGGACAGATGGTGAGGTCTACAGGTGGTTGGGAATGAAGCTATTTACTGTTGGGAACTGCTTTAAATAATTTAGGGGAGCCAATTTGCATTCTTATTTACATTTGGCTTAGGATTAATACAAAATTTGTTGTGTTTCATCAGCTTACACTCACCCCTGAATTGCAAGGAAAATCTCCTTTGATATTAAAACCTGACAGCAGATGGTCAAGTACAGATTATCCACACATCACTGACTTTCTTATCCTGATAGTCAAATCCAGTTCTTGTTCCTTTGAGTGGCCTCTGACTTATGTGTATCAGAGGCGAGCTGTGCTCCACAGGGCTTTCAATGTCTGATTTTTCATAAGCAGATCATAAGGCTTTTCCTCTGACATGGCTCTGGGAGGACTTGAACCTCCAAACTTTTGGTTAAAAGACAAGGGCATTAAGCACTTGCATCTGATAGTCAAACAAAATGCAATTCTTTACTATCTCCAAAAATGCCAAACCTAATGCTGTCAAGCCAGTTCTGGCTTGTGGATATCCTCCATCACATTTCTGAGCCTGTAAATCTAAAAGGGATGAGATTGCCTTTCTTTCTTCCTTAGAGCAGCTGGTGGATTCGAACTGCTCACTCTTTGCTTAGCAGCCCAATATCTCATGCAGTACACCACCTGGGCTCATTCCTTTCTATCTAGGTCATTTCAAACTCCTTCTAAAGTCTAAACAACAACCTGAGCTTTGATTACTTAACGATACTAGGAACTAAAAATTTGGAAAGAAAAAAAATAAACCAAGCCACACAGACAAATTTGTGTAGCATAGTTGAATGTGTTGCTGATTGCCTTCAAGTTGACGACGACTCATAGCAACTCTATGAACAAAAGGCCTGAAGCCCTTCTACAACTATCGACATTTATCAAAGTTCATAGCGGCATGTTGTTTAGGAAGCGGATGCCCCTCCTGCTTCCAAGACATAATAGAAGATTTAATTACATAACACAATTCCAACACACATGATGGCGCGACATATAACTAATGATAACTGAGACTAAAGGCCATGTATTGTATTACTATATACTAATATTTCCCTCCTCTTGGCATCCACTATTCCAACATGCCTCCGGAAACTCTATGAACTTTGATAAATGTCGATAGTTGTAGAGGGGCTTGAGGCCTTTTGTTCACTGTGGGTCACTATGAGTCGTGCTTGACTCAAAAGCAATCAACAACAACAATTATGTCTTATAGGATAGCAACAAAAAAAGCTTTAGACATCCAGAAGCTTTTTTAAAGGATCATTCTCTTTGCATAATATGAAAGAAAGAAAAAACCCCACCAAAAGCCCATCCAAACAAAAATAACCCAAAAAAACCCCCACAAACAAAAAAATAAACCAAAATAAAGAGAACCATATAACATGATCACTTTTTCAGCAGATGAATTCTAAGCTACCAACATTGGAAGAACCATTAATTACCTGCAAAGGGCTCATCAAAGACCTGTTTTTAGGTGCAGTGAATGCTTTGAGAACATTGTCTTCATCTTCTGATACTGGCGTCATTAAAACAGAACTTGTAAGAATATTCTACAGGGAAAGAGAATAATTTGAAATGTAAATGAGACTGGAAGACGTGAGTGCCAACTCAATTGCAACACTTTCGGTGTAGATTACTATGAAGCTATATCCATTAGTGTGAAAAAATTCCACTTCCCTGTGAGCTAAAAAAGGAGCCCTGGGCCTGTGGTGGGCGTGTGGGACTGCTCACAAAGTGCTCCTGGAGAAGTTAGCAGCAGCCCTGTGGGGCGAAGACGAGGCAGTCTCCTTCCAGAGAGATTTACAGACTCAGAAATCCAAATGATGGTCACCAAGAATCAGACTCAATGCAGTAGTATGAATTTAAAGGAAAACCCAACTCTACTAACTATGTAGTCTTGTGGTGACAAATAATGCCACAGTTTGTGGCACATTGTAGGCACTCAACAAATATCTTTGAAATTGTTGGATACATGCATTTTTTTTAAAAAATACTGGTTTATTTAAAACGTTTTATACACTGTTTTTCACAATGTATCTTTCCCATTTCCTTTACACACAGCCTCCACCCACCCTATTATGCAAGCCTGTGATTGACCACCCTCCATTCCCCACCCATCCTCACTGCTCTCCTTCCTCTCTCACCCCTCTTGGATCCTTATACTCATTCTACAATAATGGTTTTATACAGTATTTGTGTTTATGGGACTGAGTTAGTTCACTCAGCATAATGTTCTCTAGTCCCTCCAAATTAGGTACTAATTTACAAATCATTGCTCCTGTGTACTGTGTAGTATTCCATTGTGTGACTCTACCATAATTTTCCAATCCATTCGATTGTGCTTGGACATTTGAGCTGTTTCCATGTTCTTGCAATGATGAATAATGCTGCTATGAACATTAGTTTGTGCCTCAGTTCTAATTCTTTCTAGGAATATTCCAAGCAGTGGAATACGTGGGTCATATGGAATTTTTATGTAACTCCAAACTGCCTTCCAGAGTGGTTGTACAATTTTACAATCCCACCAAAAATGTATAAGAGTTCCTGTCTTGCCACATCCTCTCCAACATTTATGACTTGCTGTCCTGTTAAACTTTGCATTGTAACTGGATTGAGATGGTATCTCATTGTGGTTTTGATTTGCATCTCTCTTATTGCCATTGATTTGGAACATTTCTTCACTTGTCTGTTGGCCATCTGAATATCTTCCTCTGTGAAAATTCTTTACAGGGTAAATGGTTTTTTAAAATTTTTTAAATTTTTTTTATTATTGGGTTGTGTTTTTTTTTGTGTGTGTGTGTACCATCAAATTGGATCTGACTGTTACAGGAGGAGATTGTCCCTCCTTCTCCAGCAGAGCATCTGATTGACTTGAACCGCACACCTCTGGGATTGCAGTGCAGCTTCTTGCCACTAGGCCACCAGTACTCGCCAGGGTACATGTTTTTTAAAATCAAAGATCTGCTAAGCTCTACTGAGGAAACTGAGAAAACCTGATAGAGCAAAGGGTAAAACACTGAGCTGTTAACCAAATGGTCAGCAGTTTGAGCCCACTGGCTCCTGCAGTCTTCTCCTATAAGGATGGGCAGCCTCAGAACCTCTAAAAGCCCATCTGTTCTGTCCTACACAGGGTTGCTATGAATCAGAACCAACTCAATAGCAATGGTTTTTGTATTACTTTTTTCATTTGAGAAGATGATTTCAAATACTGGTTTAGAAATATTTTCAAGCTACAAATCAATGACAGTAGAGTATAACAGTTGAAAGAACTCAGACTTTTAAATTCAGTCCTAGCATTACCACTCATTAGTCATATAGGCTTGAGCCATTTCCTTGTGCCTCTGTTTCCAATATGAATAAGATTGCTGTTAGGTGTTGTCAAGTTGACCAGGGCTCAGAGCCTGTAAACAGCAGACCAGAACCTTGCCTCATCCTGTGCCATTGTCAAGCTCTTTGTCATGCTCAAGTCCATTGTACTTTCTGTGTCAATCTTTATCCTTGAAGGTCTTCCTCTCTTTTGCTGACCCTTTACTTATACTATCATGGAATAATGAGCATGATTATATTACCAATCTCATAAGGTTGCTATGAAGAAAAAAAAATGTATTTATGTGTCTGAGACTCTTAAAACAGTATGTAGAGTTTAGTATATACCCAATAAATAGTCACTAGCTCTGATTCTCTATGAGCCAAGGACAATTACTCTTTAAGTTACAAACTTAAAGAGTAAGATTTTAAAAGATCTTAAATGGTAATAACCAAAGCAGGGCACATTACAACACTGGGCATTTACTGTGAACCAAGGACGTGGTTGACACTGTGCTAGAAGTGACACACACCAAGAAAGAGAGAAGTACACAAGAAAGTAGGACTCACTCATCCATTAAGGAGACAAATATGACAATCGAGGAAAATAGAAAAATTCATTTTTATGGAAAAATTCATTTTATGGAAAATTTTTTTATGGACATGTTGCTAGGAGAGGCTATACTTTGGAAAGGGACATGTTTGGGGAGCTAGCAGGAGGGCAAAAGAGAGGAAGACCCTCATCCAGGTGGATTGACACAGTGACTGCAGCAACGGGCTCAAGTATGTCAGAGCTTGTAAGGATGGCACAGGACAGAGTTCCGATCTATTGCTCATAGGGTTACTATGAATTTTACTCAATTCACTGCCACCTAGTAACAACATGTACGTTCCTGAAGATTTTTTTTTAAATGAGCAAAACTCTCAAATGATAAGTAAATAATGCAAAATTCTGCAATGGTAAAAAAAAAGAAATTTCTGCAATGGCAAAAAAAATAAAATGAAATTCTGCAATGGTAAAAATAAAATAACATTCTGCAATGATAAAAAAGAAATAAAATTCTGGAATGGAAGGGAGTCTGTTTATACCACATCAATAAAATCTCAACATTCGACTCAATACTTTAAAGATCACACAAAAAGCAATCATGTGAGAGAGAACACTGAGAAACTTGATGCATTTGGTGCATTGATGGTGCTGAGATTGCAGGCACCCATCAGGCCACGCACTGAAGCTGCTATGACTTGGGCCCAATGTCGGCACCTGTACTCACCGGCACGTCGGCCACCGGCGAGGACTGCATGAACAGTTGGGTGTGCAGACTGTCCCCTTCCCAATGGTTTGAGCAGAAGAAGTTTCCCGCTTTATCGGTTGGAGATTCCACCTGAAGGCAAACAGGAAATGCTGGGTTGTTTTAACTTCTCATGGAACATTCACATTCCAGAGTAAATATATGGCAAATTTCTCAAACATTGTCCCTACTATGAAAGGCGTCAATGCAAAAGGTTTTGTAACTACCCTTTTTGAAATGCCACCAGCCAACAAGCTCACATTTTGATCTTTGCAAGCTAGACTCTCGCACTCACACACTCACCCACACCATATGCATACACCCCTAAGGAGTCTTTGGGTGAAATAGTTAAGTGTGTTAACCAAAAAAGTTTGTGATTTGGATATATTCCGAAGTGCAGCGGAAGAAAAGTCCTGGCTATCTGCTTTCAGAAGATCATAGTAGTGAAAATTCTATGGAGTGTGGTTCTGTAACACATGGGTTGGTATGAGGTAACTTAAAATTGACAGCAACTATTAAGTGTATATTTAATGTATTGATACACACATTCACAATACATATATAATGTATATATGTAAATGAATGTTTACTCACAGTCCCATATTAAAAAAGAAATGTTACATTAACTTTTAAAGTGTACTTCTTTTATTATTAAATTTTATTAATTTTAATGAACATTTACAGAGATTTTGGATTTCCACTCATTCATTGTTGCACTATTTTCTCTACCCCCCAGTTCATTCCTCTTTTTTTTCCCTTGAAAGTCTGTTTTAATTGTCCCACTACCACAGTGCGTGTCAAAGCCAGTTCTGATTAATTTCCTTTGTCAGTGCATCCTTTGCCATTCCCTATCTCTCCTCCCTGAGAGAGACTTCACCCTGATTCATAAGGAAAAGGGGACTGCGTATTCTCTTAGCTACTTCTTGCTGAAAAGGGACGCTGTAGGTTTCAGGGTGAAGATCTTCTCTCACTACTCTAAAGGGCCCCTTTGGCAATAGGAAACACATAGACTATTGTGGAGATTGATTTTGGAATTTAGATGCACTGTTATCAATTGTGCTTAGCCATATAAAATGTACTTCTTGTGCTTGGAATTATACATATGTTGTTGTGTACCACAGATTTGGAACTGACCCATAGCTGACCCTCCAGTGGGTTTGCAGAGGCAGTTAATCACCCGGGAGATTGCCCAGCTATCTCCCACAGAGCAGCAGGTGGCCTCAAACCCTGTGCTTTTGGGATTGCAGTGCAGCTTATTGCCACTAGGCCACAAGAACTCCATAATATATATATAAATATCAAATATAAAAACTCAACTGATTGCCATCACCTTGGAATGGACTCAGCTGACCCGTCAGCAGGTTTTCAGGAGGCTGTAAATCACATGGGAGCAGATTGCCTATTTTTCTCCCGTAAAGTTGCTGTTGGATTTGAATCGCCAGAGAGATACTGTTTTCGACTAGTAGGCAACACCCTATGGACAAGACCACCAGTGCTCCATTTCTGATACACCTAACCTGATGACAATAGTTTGGTAAAAAACTGCTTGACTTATTGGCCCCCTTTCCTCTGCTCCAGGTTCTCTGTCCAAATATGAGCTAGATGGTGGTGGCTTGGTTTCTCAAATGAAAAACCACATGGCTACCTTCTGGCAATACCTTCTAACGAGATCTTCTGTGAAAAGTCTCTAAATGGTGGTGTTATACAGCAAGATGACAGGTACGTTAAGCACATGCGGGGAAGAGCAACGGAAGCAAGATACGACCCTTGTTCCTTCCGAAGGACCTCGAGCTTTACCTCTTGTTTGATTTTCTTCAGTAAAGGCAGTCCATTGTCTGCAAATTCAGCAACCATTCCAGACTCGTCTGATTCCTGCTTGATCACATCCTGTATATCTTCTACTAGATGAGAGGGGGTCTGAGGCTGCAGGGAAGAGTGGATATTTTTGCATCAGAGGAAAATTCCTGTCTGTACTGATAAATAATCTATATCCAAACACCTTTTAGAAAACTTACTAGCATCTTAAGAGGGCCATATTTGATTTCTTGAGCTGCCAGTGCATGTTTGAATGGTGTAGGAGTTCTTGGAGAGCTTTCTAGGATTGACCTTTTAATAGCTGGAGTTCTAAAACTTGAAAAAGAAAAAAAATTGCTCAGATAAAAATACCTTTATCTCTTACATTGTTCTACCTAGTAATTTTATTATTTTTTTCTATGAGGTACAAATGTACAGTCATTGTTAGTGAAGTAAATATGCTGATTAAGGGAAAGATAATATGCGTATTACAAATTTTCAGGTATGTCAAAATATCATGCCCCTAAGGCTAACAGCATTAAAAATTTTTTCATCTTTTATAACAGTTCTAAAGACATGCATCATGCCTCTGAATCTTTATAAATGACTGTGAGATGTGAATATCTCCTGCCATTCACAAATTAATCTTATCTATGCATTAACACAGAGTTTAACATAACTAACATATGTTAAATTTTAAAATGTACTTTAAAAAAATAAAATAAAATGTACTTTTTGTGCTTGGAAATAGTAAGATGGCATTTATTTGAAAGGGCGCTTATAATTCATACTGATTTTCTCCACCATTTATTTAAATTGGTGACATTAACTGAGTAGAAATGATTACTTCATTATCCCTTGACTTTTAATAATTTAATATTCCTTGATACAAATGATATAATAACTAATAAATAAAAATATCCAACAAGATCTTAACTACAGATAAACTTCAAAAAGAGTAAACATTTTAAAATGTGAATCACAATCATGTTGATGCTTATTTATTTAGATGAAATGAGGTTTAAAACCATGATTCAGTAAGATGAAAAGATCTTAGTGAATGGAAACCACCTGCTCATATTTAGGAACATTTGAAGTGAATTACAAAGTATAATTTAGTTTAACCTTCCATTTTATACCATTTGGCAGTGGTTAATATGCTTAAGAAAGATATACTAGTGTAGGAATATACAGAAACATACATGTGGATTAGTAATATGGATTATATGGGACGCTATTGCTTTTTAATAAGAGAAATAATTTTATTCTTGAGCCAAGAACTTACATAGTATTTTCCTTTTGCGTTTTCACAGTCTGATCTCTAGGAAATGGTGTTGTAACAGTCAGTTTGTGACCATTGAGAGGGGTGGAAGTTAAAGAAGGCATTTCCAAGTCTAGGTTTTCATGGTTACTGGAAGTGTTTAAGAACTAAACATAGGGGAAAGAAAAAAAATTACTTCTATTAAATAGTCATTCTTCATTTAGTCCAAGTCTAGAAAAAACCTTGGTAGCCAATATGCTTCAGTGACCCATTATAGAATAAATATATATTAGGATAATAAAGAAAAATATCCAATAATGTCCTGTTGGACAGAGCACTATTTTGTTTCATTTGAGTACATACAAAAATTAGAATTTGATTTCTAAGAATTCTAGCATCAATGTGGAAAACCTTGCAAAATCCTAATGAAGTATCCTCAATAAATGGCACTTGCCATTACAGAGAATGAGGGACACACTTTGTTAATGTGGAAAAGAAATTCTTCAGAAATTTTGGTTTTTAAGGAAAATAATTATCATTTCTTTTCCTATTCTATTTTCTCTCTTTAATAATCTATAAATGAAAACTATTATAGAAAGTTCACATTATTTGAAAAACTCTTAAATAATAAGCTGTGTTTCTCAGAACATCAATATTCTGGGAAAATAATAGGTGTTCCTGAAACAAAATATTCCAAGGTCAAATAAGTGTGGGAAAGACAACATATTTAAATCTTTCTGGAAATTCACGGTGCACATTAGCATATCAAAAAGTGTAAGAGATTCAGTAATAAAAGAAATAAATTTTTTAAAAAGAAATCTGATTCTTTGTTTTCCAGGCTTGTATACCTACATATTTAAACATTTTTCTGGAACACCTATTAAAATCTTAGAGAAATAACGTTCTGCATAACACAGTTCAGAAAATACAGTAGAAAACCACGACTTTTCTTTTTTCCTCTTGTGTTGTTCGCTCATATTTAAAGCTAAAGCTAAAACAAGTGCAACAAATATGCTTGGAAAATGTTTTAAAGCGCCAAATTATCTACTGATCTCAATCATATTGTTTGACAACACAGATCACAAATAAGAATTGTAACTGACATGCCTTAATAATAGCAACGTGAAGTAATATCATATTTTTGGCAAAAACTATTTTAATAAAATAGTATAGCACAATTTGAAAGAGCCAAAGTTGATAAATTAAAATGAAAACAAACTATTGTCCTTACGGATTTGTTCCTCATACTCTTGTGAAGCTTTTCCACTTATTGATGGATGAGGATCTTTAAACAGTGGAAACCCATATATTATCAAAACATGCTTCAGGTCCCCCCTCTCTTGGGCCAGTGAATCACATATCAACAAATGAACAAAGGTTCAGGGGGCGGGGAACGTTAACATTTTTGAAAAGGGACAGGAAAAATGAGCAAAGAAGAGAGAGAACTATTAAACTACAGTTGGAGCAATGAAAGCGCATGCCATGCAACCACTCATCTTCCAAACCACCAAAGAATTAAGAGAATCGTTGAAGGAAATCAGCAATCAACTTGCAGGCAGCCTACACTTTGGGGGTGGGGGGCAGTGTGACTTAGCAACAGCTAGCTTGAACAATGGAATGAAATCAGCAAGGCCACAGTAATTAGTCATTTGTTCCAAAGGATTAGTTTCTAGATTATTCAGGCTCAGGTGTCTGTTGAAAATTAGTAACATCTGTGCAGAAATGGTGCGCTACCTGCGAGGGAGAGAAGGGCAGGCTTTTGACAGGGGAACGCTTGGGCGTTGAGCTGCTGACGTCAGCAAATAGGAAGGAGTTAGCCTCTCCAGCGGCTGAGGGGCTGCTTGGCCCCCGCCTCTTTCGAAGGATGACCAGTGGAATTGTGCTGTGCCTCATGGGAGGGAAGGGCCTGGGTGGGTCAAGGGGAACCTCCCCTGCAAGGCGTTTGTTCAACCTGGCGCTAGGCTCTCCTGCCGGTCTATTCACATTGCCCTCTGTTTGCTGAAGCTGGAGGGCTTTGCCTGCTTGGTGTTGGCTAGGTGAAAAATTTGCTTCTTCAAAGAATTCAAAACTGCTGAGATCACACCGCGATGAAGAATCCTGAAACGATGTGGGAGGCACAGAGCTTTGAGACAGTGTGTACATCACATGTGCCATCACCTAAAACAGTGCTGAACGGTGCTGAATGCAGCAAGAATCCTTGGCCACAGCTGACTGACTTCTCCAGAACCAGCTTCAAGGTGAACAGCTCTTCTGCTAACACTGCATTAGAGCATCACTCAGGCTGCCTCATGGTGATCATGCTGCCTCATGGCGGGCCCTGCAGGTGAGCTGCTGGGACATCCTGACACTCTATGAGGCAGCCCTGCAGGTGAGTTGCTGGGACATCCTGACACTCTCATTTGCCTGCCTTCTAAAGCAAAAAGAAAACCTACATACCCCATCCAATAGATAATGTAATAAATGCTTTTTAACCAACCAAGAAGCCAGTGGAATTAAGCAAATTACTACTTTCACTGGAGAAAGTGCTAAACTCCAATTTGTTTCATGGTGTCCTGCGCTCAAATTGGTTTCACTGCAGATGACTTGGTGGGCCAACTGGGACTTGTCAGCATCATCAGTGTTTGGAGGGGAAAGCCATGGAGTACCATCAAATGAACAGATAACCACTTCAAATGTGTTGATACACAGAGCAGATACAATTTACAATGTGCTATCCCAAAGCAAGGCAATTACAGAGAAGCACAAAACAATAAACAAAGTAAGAAAAAAACAAATATAACTCAGACATCATTCCTATAATCCACGGTCAGCTTATAAATTATCACTATCTTCACTACATAGATCAACATTTTGCCTTCAAGGCATAAAAAGTTTTACCTGGGTAGCTTATGAAATCAGACCTTTGGGAGGGGGAAATATACACTCAGGCTAAAAATCATTATCTTTACATTAGTAGCACTGGCTAACAACAAAATAGAAAATGGCTTTAAGAAATGGGTTACCTAAACCCCCTTCTGAAAGCATCAACTTGCCTTAACCATTCTACTTACAGAATCTATAAACTGGAGTGTTTCTGCAAATTCTAAGAGGTTCTTAACATTGTCCAGAATCGTGCCCTGGTGGACGATCATGCACCTTGTGGGAGACGCGCTTTCTTCCGGCAGGGAGCCAGGATCCACAGGCAGAGATGGAGTGGAGCGGTGCTCTCCCAAACAGGAAACAGGTGCACAGTCTACATGAGGTCTGCTGTGGTCGGAGACAGTGGTGCTGTGCCACCCAGGGTAGCTGCATGTATGGTTCTGTGTCTAAACGGGTGGGAGGGGGTGTCAAGAAGTAAAGAAAGAGTGGGGAGAAGAAAGGGAGAAGGAACTTAGCAATGAAATTGCACAAGGTATCAGATGCTGTTGGACGGAAGATAAAAGGAGTTGCATCATCCAGAACTTGCGCCTATGAAACAGTTGTCAAGATGTTTCCTTTTATCAGTGCAAGACCCTGGTTTTTTAATAGTGGCCCAGCTTGCCATTGCCACGATGACTTTCACTGTCATCACATTGTTAAACTGGCAATTAATGAGACAGTGCCACAAAGTGACAATTCTCACAAAATTTGTCTTAAGACAGGGTGATGATGGGCATAGTTCAATGGTGATTAATTTTGTTACACAGAATGAATGGGAATGATTCACACAGTGTGAATGAAGAATAGTGTGAAACACAATGTATGCAAACTTTGTAAGCAAACCAATATAAAATAAAAATTTTAAAAGGAAAAAAGAGTCTTAAAATCCACTTTAAGATCTGGAAGGTCCATAAATGTTGACTGTGAGTTAAGAATTGGTCTTTTTGCTTTCTAACTTACAAAAGGGCCATGTGCTTTGAGAATCAGCACTGCTCTCCTTTGCACACCCTCCTGTATCTCCTGTCCCTTTCTAATGCTCCAGACTGCAGCAAGGCAGTGAAGGGCCAAGCCGACGTGGTCAGGAAAGCAGAAGAGCGAGTTAACAGAAGTCTCCTTTCAGCATGACCGTGCAACAGGAGAAATTGCAAAATAGCAGCTCAAGCTGAAGAGTGGTCTAACTAAAATATCATGCACATGATCGTTTTATTATTTCACGACAAGACATTTACTCCTAAGAATACCTACTGGGATCACTTCTTTTTTATTCTCTTTGTCGGCTAGCTACACATGTTACAAAGCACAAGTCGCAGTCTCAGTTTTCTACACCATCACTGAGAAAAAAAATGCCAGAATTCAGGAGTGGTCCCCACAGCTCCCATGCATGCAAACAAAAGAAAGGGACTGCTGTTATTTATGGAGAAGGTGGCCTCTGGAAACTCTATGAACTTTGGTAAATGTCGATGGTTGTAGAGGGGCTTCAGGCCTTTTATTCAGGGGGTTACTATGAGTCATACTCGACTCGAAGGCAATCAACAACAACAACTACAATTGAACTTGCATCACAGCAAAGCTGAAACGATAAAGTATGAAAAACTAGAAAAACAAATAGAAAATTAAAAATATAAAATGAAAAGGCACCATATCTTCATTGCAAGATGAACAGCTTTTTTTTTTTTTAATGTTGATTTAAATTCACTTTTCTTTGTTAGTCTTTGAATTGACTATAGACCTCCTAGAGGAGAGGAAAAAATCAAGGCTGACAATTTTGGATGCCTATTTTTCTGCTGTTGGAATAGAAAAAAATATGTCCAATTTAGTCAATATACATCCCGGTACCAATTTTGTTTTACAAGCAACTCCTTGGGTTTAAGTATTATTAAACACAGAGCCTTGATTAGAAGATATTCAGAAGAGAAGAAAGAGAGCAAAGCGGAGCCTGGGCAAAGCTGGTCCCCCTGCCACACCCCGCTCCAGCAACACGTTCTTACAGGTAGCGCCTGCTGCCCTTTCAGCTCATTCTCCGTTGACATGAGGAGCAATTCCAATTCCTTTATTCGCTTTTCTTTCTCAGGGTCTTCATCATTATAGTGTCTCTGAAATTAAAAGTTGAGGGAGAAAAAGAAATAAAGATCTGCCTAGAAGCTGTAAACACAATGGTAAACACAATCAACCATCATGCCATATCACACACAGCCCTGAGCCTTCCTGGTGAAGCAAATGCCAACTGAAGTTTTCCCTGTAGAAATCTTCACAGATATTACTACTCTAGACTGCGGGAGTCAGGTGAAATCTGAGGCTACAGTGGATACTGACTTAGCTATTTCAACAAAGAAACCGAAAACCCCAAAATCCACTGTCACTCAGTAAGTCCTAACTCACTGTCACCCTACCAAATAGGACTTCTAAGATCATGAACATTTATGGGCCGAGTCTGTCCATTTTCTTCCTGCAGAGTAGCCGGTGGATTTGAACTGCCAACCTTTCAGTTAGTAGCCCAATACATTACGCATTGCACCAGCAGAGAATTCCAAGGCAAACTCGCTTCAGAAACAAAGACAGTCAGAGCGTTACCCCTGCTCCTTACAGTCCCCTGCTCCTTTTACTTTAGTGGGCCAGATAGTGAGATGAAAAACATCAAGCATTTCTTAAAATCTGTGCCTTTGACAGTTACCAAGTTTCTTTAGGAAATGAATTCAGAATGATCTTACCTGAATGGCTGCAGCAGCTGGCTGTGGAACATTGACTATATTTACATGTAACGCTACAGGATATGGAACATGACCAGGGACCTAGACCAAAAAGGTAAAACAAATGTGAATCATTAACTGAAGTTTTGCTCCAAAATTGAGAAAACAACGCCTTGCTGGTAAGTCACCCAACAATTACAAGGGTATTGCAATTTGAAATGTAATCAATTATGTGAAAGAGGGGAGATTGCTACCGCATAGTGAAGAAAATGTGACCTTTACATCAACTTTGACAAGAAATCTTTCTAAATTAAGAAGAATAATGAAAAATAAAATAGAAATTGAGCATTTATGAGCATCTGAGAGAAGTTATGATGAGGAAAATTGATAGTATTAGCTGTTTTAAAAGAAAAATATTTTTCTTTTTCATTATAGGTTTTAATGATAAACAGAAACTCTTATGAGTGCATTACCTGAGACTGTTCTGGAAAGTCTAGGGCCAAATGTATGAAATATATACGGAAAATTAAAATAGTTTATGAATATACTTTGCATAGAATTTGGATATAAGCTCTGTATATTAGAACAATTTTCACTGTCTAGCATCATTAGTTTTCAGATTCATGTTGCATTGTCTCTCTTCATTTTTCCTTTTCTACCCATAGTGAACTACTTCTTTGCATAAGCATCTAGGAATAAAAAAGGAATCACAACAATCCAAACAAAAAACAGGGGGAAAAACAAAGATGTCAGATAGTCAAAGGCATAAAGCTCTTTTCTGAATCGGGAAGAGTACAATCACTTAATGAATTCTCAAATCCAGACATTTCTGTCAGATTCCTGTCAGAATCAATCTTACAATTATCAGAATTTCAGTTCTGATAATTACTTTTCATTTTGAAAAAGAAACCAGTTAGACAACAAATGCATTTCCATCTCTTCATTCTTCAGCAGCACCTTGCTAAATACACATCCACTCAAGAGCTTACTTCAAATCAGGTGGGAAGTAGCAAGCAATAATGTTGACGTTTTAGAATCAATCAGCTTGGATTCTAGTCAGCACTATCTCTATGAACTCTGGACAAAATCACATAGCAGCTTCATTTCTGGATATATTAATCAGGGAAAGCAAAAACCCCTCACCAACCTCAAAGGGCTTAGGGTGAGATCAGATCAAGATCAGGGCTATTAAAATTGTCTCTGCAAAGTATACAGCTGTCAGGTGGTACTATCACACAGAGCGGGAATAAGCAGGCATCTCGGTAAGCTAAATTCCTGGAGATGGCTTACATTTTGAGCTTCAGGAATGTGGTAATAGGAATAGTCATTGTTAACTGAGGGCTGGCCAGGTGGAGGGAGCTGAGCTGAAGGTGGAGCATGAGGAAAACCTAACAAATGACCGTTCTTCTGAAAATTTGTGGCCACCACAGGCTGACTGGCCTTGGACGACTCCTGCAGATAACCTTCCTGTTCCACCTTCCGACGCATTGTAGAATTCCAGTGGTTCTTGATAGCATTATCAGTTCTGCACAGAAATACATCACAGAAAAACTTTACAAACCAGTATTTCAATAAAGATTCAAACTCAATGACAGAACACTGTTTCTAACAGAGATCTAAGTGTTGGAGCCACTAATAGTTTTCATTCTTGTTTGACCATTTTGATCTTCTCTACCTCCTAAGATCAGGCTTTCTCTATTACCTGACTTTTAAACACATAGATTTTTCTTAATTATATCACTGGACTAGAGATGCTTTTCTATAAATGTTGGTATCTTTGGGCCATTGTGTTTTCTTGATAAAGGTCTATTCTCAGCATAATAGCCCATATGTTCATTCTAATTGTGGGCCAAGCCTCTAGTCCTGATTCTTCTAAAAATGCCAACTTCCTTCTCTTAGAAAATCACTCTTGAGGGTGTGACTTCAACCGGCCTACCAAGCACATACAGTAGGTACCTGGGGAAATTGTAGAAGGATAAATCTGTGACTGGTTCACTGTCTACTCTATTATCTCTTACAGCCCCATCAAGAAATTCTGAGTCAAGAAAACTCTCAACTTTTGAAAATCATCCAAAATGTTCCATAGCCTGACAGGCGAGGGTAGAAAATGGATCCCATGAGGAAAAAAGTCCTAACTCTCAAAATATCTGTAGGCTGCATGGCAGGTTAATGAAAGTCTTTCAATTATCAGGAAAACAGTTTCTCAATTTAAAAAACCGTTTTAAGCCTCTTTTTTACTATTTCATTGGGGGTGGGGGATGTAAGCGAAAGAAAGAGGAAGTTGAGTTGCCCCTTTAATTTTTAGAAGAATCCACAGCATATCCTCTCTGGCTAAAAGAGGCCCTCTTTCACCAACCTCTGAAGTTCTCTAAGCTGACACCAAACTAGATGAAGGAAATGCTACAGAGTGTCAAGAGGCTATCCTAGGCACTGCCTCTTTGAAATGACCCTTTCTCCACTTTTGGTAAGGAAGCCCAAGAAGAAAAAGGTCAACTATTGTCTATCTTACATTATTCCTGGACTGTAATGAAAAAGTTGACAAATTCAACAAAATCTGTTTACTATCTAATGTTTTGGTGGGGAGTATGGACGGGAAAAAAATGTTTCCATGACACCCCTAATGAACCAGCTTGTTTTTGCGTTTGTTTCCTTACACATAAAACATTAGATGGGCATTGTATTAAAATCTGGAAGCTATATGATAATTTTAGAAATATGGTCTTACTTAAAATAAAACAATGAGTAATGAATGCCAGTATTACATAAAATGATGGCCAAATTCCTTCTGGTGTCTGAATCAACTGTGTGAATTCAGACCAGAAATAAACTGCCCTCAGTTTCCAATGATTTGTTTAGAATTGGGTAGTTTACCAAGTATGTTGACATTCATTTCCCTTGATCCTAACTTTTCCCCGATGTAGTGAGAAACCTTTGTAAATGGAGAAAAGGAAGCTAAAGTAGAAGTTTAGAAGACTGGTCCAGTGCTTACCACTAGAAGGATCCTGATCTTTAGCTCAAATCTCCAACCACATAAATTCTAAGATCTCTTAAAAATGACAGCTCAGGTTCATCCAACGAAATACCATCAATGGATTGTAATCCACTCACCATTCACTTAAAACAGAATTTCCAACACCCACTCCCTTATTCTTCCCAACCAATATATTTTTTTGACAGAGTATTACCGTCCAGGCAGTAGCTTTGCGATTTCTGCCCATCTGTTCCCCAGTCTCTTGTGTGCCTGGTAAATAATTCTGTCTTCCTCTTCTGTCCAGGAGGTTTTCTTAACTTCTGGATTCAAGTGGTTATGCCACCTCTCCCTACATTGTTTTCCAATTCTCCCCTTTAAGTGCTTGGCAATAACAGACCAACGTTTCGGACCGTATTTCTGTACAAGCTCTATCACCTTCAGATAAACACACAAAAATAACCTGTGTTTTAATGTTACATAATGAGTCAGTGTCATAATTCTTCAGTGTTACAAGATCTTTAGAAAAAGTCTAAGAATCTGCATTTATTTATGGGAAATATGGGCATTGGGTCCTCTACTCCCTGTTTGCACACTTTATCTGTGTTTGGTTTTTTTTCAAGGTGAAGACATACAACAAAGGTATCTAGGGAATATTTTTTAACTGTGACTCAATACACCAGTGAAAAAGGAACTTACTCTCTGATCTTCTTCTTTGGTCCAAGGACCCTTGATGAGCTCAGGGTTTAAGACTTTCTGCCATCGGTGCTGGCACTGCACATCTGTTCGATTCTAGTCCAATAAAATAAAAGATGCACTGTCACATTGATACAACTTAATGTGCTCATGAAGACTTTGTTCCAATATGAATTATACACATCCAATACACATGAAGACATCCAAGAACATGGGAAGGCATGGGTGGTGAGAATAAGTGATTCTTACTACTTATAGGTTAAAAAAAAACACCCCAAGACTCTATCAAGTTGCATCTAAATTGGACTGTTGGTCTCCCATCATTTGAATGAAAGGAGCAGATCCTGCATTCGCACCTTCTCATCTACCTTAAAATCAATCTTCATCTGTTTCGTGTGAAAAGTGGCGATGTAATCTTAGTCTTGTTAGAGAATCACAATGAATTTAATGGTGGTTGGTTTGGGGTTTTTGTGTTTGTTTCTTTGTTTGGTTTTGTTGTTGTTGTTTTGTTTGTTTTTTTTTTCAATGGAAAGCTACCCTAAGAGGCCAATGTCTGCCTCCCATTTGTACTGATGTTGTTGTTTGTCATTGGTTTTATGTGCTGTCAAGTCCCCAGTGATTCATAGAGACCCTATGCACATAGATATGCTCAATTCAGGGCCAGGATTTATAATGCAAAGAGAATAAAGATGAATAAAAGGTAGGTCCTACCTTTCAAGAGCTTAAACCTTTATAAGAAGGGGGGAAATATAATTAACTATAGTAGAAGGCAAATTGTAATTCAGACTCAAGAAAAGACCAATGTAAAAGGATACTGCGATGGAGAGAGAAATGTTCTGAGGAGAGATTCTGTCTGCTGAGGAAGAGTCAGAAAAGCTCTTGAGATGAAGGATGGGCAGAACTCTAATTGAGAAGTAAAGGGAGACTATTCTAGGTGGTGGGGTCGTCAGGGACAAAAGCCCATAGGAGAGAAAGCAGAAATGAGTTTAACCAAATCTGCTCACAGAGGGGAAGTAGGAAACAGAACTGGAGCAGAGTGTGGGCTGTAGGAAGGGTCCGGCGTGCCAGTCAGGTTGAGGCAGTTTCATTTCATTTGGGAGATGCTAAAGTTGCTGTTGTAATTTTTTTTATTTTATTAATTTTAATGAAAGTTTACAGAGACTTAGGGTTTCCAGTCATTCATTGTTGCACTTTTCGCCCTACCCAACCCCTCCCCCCAATTCACTCTTCCCCTTGAAAAGAAAAAGATAAACTTCTTCATTGTTATGCAATCTCTCCCCCCAAGTCCACTTCACTGTGCAGCCTTCACTCTGGACTTTTGTAATGATAAAAATATCCATTCATAGACCCCTTTTAAATAGTTCTCTCCCTCATCTGTTTCAATGCAATGTACATCATTCCTCCCCTCCTTTTGTCTTCCCTCAACCCTCGTTTACAACAGTAGCCCTATGCAATATTTGTCCTTTTGTGACTGAGATATTTCACCCAGCATTATGTCCTCCAGGGTCATCCATGTTGCATAATATTTCATGAGTTCCTTGTTTTTCAATGCTGCATAGTATTCCATTGAGTGTATATATAAGAGCTTCTCTATCCATTCGTTTCTTGATGGGGCTGTTGCAACTTTTTAAAAAATAATGGATGGCTGAATAATAGGAAGCTTGATCAGCCAATAGTGTGTGGGATAAACTGGAACATAGAAAGCTACAAGGAGGGTCAGCTAGTAGTGGGATCACTGGCTGGTGTCAACAGGCTGGTGTCAGACAGCATAATAAGTCACAGAGGCGCCCTCCATGGCCTTCCTCCTACACCAGACCATTATTATTAGCACCAATTTTAAATATAAAATATTTGATAAATATCTTTATAAAGTAATTAAATGTAATATTGCCAAGATTGTATGAGAACTAGAAACAAAATTCATTTGTAGAATCCTTCTGTATTAATTACATTGTTAGTTACAGCATTATGAGTAACAGTTGAAATACTTTTAAAAAACTTTCCCTTTGTAACTATTACTGCAGTCTCAGATAGCTTTGCTGCAGGTTCACCACTTACCACAATATTGTAGCTAAACCATTAGAAAATCTGACAAAATCGCGGGCTATTAAAACACCAGCCTCAGCCTTATCCCTCCATGTCTCCCTTTGCTTAGTATTCTCCCAAATAAAACTCCTTTTTTGCTCACATTAAAAACAAATGAACAAGCAATGTGGACGCAATGAAAACAACAGCATGGAGACAAAAACATGTGATTCGAGGTGGCCTTGGAATTGGCTAATAACCATCACTCTGATTAAAGCGCGTAAGAAAGGTCAAAAGGGAGTTCAAAAAGTCGCATAAGTGAGGCTTAAAGAGATTCTTTTTGTTGTTTTAACTAACCACAAGGATATTTTTTTTTATAAAAAAATACATTTTTGCTGAAATGCACAAAAATTGTAGACATTTTGGTGTCACCCCTCTGACAGTGTCTCTCGGTGCGGCCCACTTTTCCTGCACACACGAACGACGCCAGTGATAGGAGGGCACTGCGAATGCTTAGGTGAAAGGGAGCAAGCCTAGCCTTTGAGAATAAGAAGAAAGTGAGTCGTGACAATGGAATTCCAGATTTGTAAGATACATACTTAGTAAATGCTTGGATATACAGGATGAGTCAGAACTGACTCATAGCTGACCCTGCACGGATTTCCAGGACCATATATTACAAAGGAAGTAACTGACCATCTTTACTCTGAAGCCACTGGTGTAGTCAAACTGCCTGAGAGGGACAGCCGTGCAACTCCCTATAGAAGATGAGGGTGGGGTGGTGATATTTTGAAAATGATCCAAAAATTCTAAACGTGGGTGCCAAAAAGCATGGCTCTTGACCAAAATAGGGACTTTAGAAGACGCTAACTCTGGAGAATTATCAAAAGCTTAGCCATTTAACATGTACTAAATCATCAAACACTAATTTATATTACCTTGATAAATGAAAACAGAAAACAAAAAGCAAACTTTTTTAAAAGTTCTAGAAATTCTTTAGCAATCTATCTAGAAAGTCTAATTACTTTCAGGACAATATACTTTGCTGATGGGGCATTTCTCCACCATAATTCTTACATGTAAGTAAATGCATAATATATCAATCTCTTCTCAAATATCTTTTGAACACTTCCCTCCCACAAAAATAAAAGAAATATCTACTAACTTACCGGGAGGTAATTGGCAATAACTTTCCAGTCATCTGTTCCATTCTGTTCTACCAGCTTCTTTAATTTTTCATCCTAGAACATTTAAAGGTACTCCTGGGATATCAGTCATTTATTGATTCAAGTCAGAATAAAGGAGGAACCCAATCCAATAATACAAATGCAAGGGGGCGGAACTATCAACTCTCCAAAATATCTAAATCTAATTGAATTTTAGGAAGCCAGTATTAATGTAATAGAGTGGCTTAGAACATAGATTTATTTAGAGTTATACTGATTAGAGTTTGAATTACACAGATTATAGCTACTGATTAGCTATATAAACTTCGGTATATAATTTTGTCTTTCTGGATCTTAGTAATGTCATTTATAAAATGGGAAAGCTGTTATATTCAGGATTATTTTGGGAGTTACATATAGCATAAGGCCTGCCACATATTAAGTACTTAATATATGGTGGCCATTAAAAGTCCTACTTTGTGAAAAAAAAATATACTCCAGTATTATATTTAGAAGATGTTTAACTATTTCAAAAGGACCTCAAGTGCAAATGCAGTATTTTCAGTGAGCTCAACCCCTTTCACACAAAACCTGGAAAATCACTTTCCAATTAAGCTTGAAAGGCATGCACGAGGTAAGAAAACAGTTCTGGGATTGTATCAATATGTTAGAAATGTTAAAAGAGCTCACTCTTGCTAGAACACAGAGTGCACTAAATGTCAGTGAGCAATCTGTTCCTTTAGTGTCAAGACTGTCCACTGTCCCTCCCACTCTCCAGTGTGCTTCTGACTGATGTGTTCCTTCCAAATAAATGACGACATGGTGCTCCTATAAAGGCATTGATATTCACACGCAGTGTGGGTCACTGGTGTAATACAGACACAGGAATTAGGAACTAGTGCTCATGAATGAGCTTCTGTATCTCTAAGGATCATTCAAGTGCACTTCCTATGAGCATTTCCTATTAGCCTTCCAGCCAATAGAGGGTCTAGTTTAAATGAAGCAGAGTGGAACGAAATTGAAGAACTGGTAGTCCAGTGCGTTATATGCTAGGTTGCTGACTGAAGGTGCCAACAGTTCGAATCCACAGGGTCTGCTTCAGGAGAAAAATGAACAGGCTCCTCCTTTTAAGATTTACAGCCTCAGAGAGTTGCCAAGAATAGGAATCAACTCAACATCAGTGGTTTAGTCCACATCCTAGCATTAGTGCAAAAGAGATACTGAGAACATGAATTAAAAAGAAACTTCTCACACATTAATAATTTTGCTACCTAAGGCAATGAGTTGAGTTTGAGTTGATAAAGATTCTGTTTCAATAAAGTAACATAAAAAGAAATCTTAGGTGAGCTCTGGTGGCTTAGTGACAAGAAGCTGCACTGCAATCCCAGAGTTACGCGCTTCAAATCCACCAGATGCTCTGCTGAAGACAGAGGATCAATCAGTTCCTGTACCAGTCAGATTCAATTTGACAGTACACACATTAAAAAAAAAAAAGAAAAGAAATCTTAGAGGCAGACACCTCTCCATCACTGAATGCTTTTAGAATATATCCACTGTGGTCCAGTCCAACTCACTATGTCCCTATATATAGGACAGAGACATCTTAAAAGGTTTACAAAGTTGAGATCTTTATAAAAGCCAACTGCCACATCTTTGTCGCATGATGGGTTTGAATGGCCAACCATTTAGATAGCAACTGGGAATTTTAACCACTGTGCCGCTACTGTATCTGTATGTGATCTACACATATCTGTATGGGATCCTATGTAAGATATATCTAGAATAGGAAATGAATATAACAAGATGAGTTCTCTGAGGGATTTTCTTCCCCCTTCTTTTTAATTTTGTATTTGGGAAACAGAAATTTAGTAATTATGGGAACATTTAAACATTTATTCATGTTTCACCTTGTGTCAAGGAATTCCGGGTGTGAAAGAGACAAAAATGAGCAGATGAGCCCCCTGGCCCTTCGCAGGCCTGCAGTCTCCCGAGGGAGACATATACGTCACAGCAGCACTAAGACCTAGGACAGGACATGAACCTAAATATGTGGGAGCCCAGGAGTAGGCATGAAAGCCTGTCTGGAGAAGCTTGGGATGGTCTCACAGAAGAGCTGATGTGTGAGTGGTGAGGGATGTGGGCCAACACATTAGGCTTAGGGAAAGTAAGGAAGAGAAGGCCTGCATGGAGCTGAGCACACAACACAGGAATTGGTGGGAGGGGAGCAAAAAGGCCCCAGTAAGATCAGAGAGAGCCTGCTGACAAGGCTCATACCTCCAATTTGGTTGAAATTTTGTTTTTCATCACTCAACACACTATATCTAGGCTTGTCCTAGATTTTGGTAAAGTGGTTAGTTACCTCTTCCCTGGTCCACCTCGTTTTTCCCAAATGACGCTTTCCAGACTTGGGAAGTAGCCCATCATAGTCATGATCACACATCTCAATGTCTTCATCATCCTCATCACTACTGTATATGCTGCCAGAAACAAACAAACAAACAAAAAATGGGCAAACATCAGCTGAAACAGGAGGATTTAAACTATTGGATTACAAAATGTCCACAAAAACTCAACAATCTTTTCAAAGGTTATGAAGAGAAAACCCTGAAAACTTGCACAACAAGATTTTGCCCTGCATTCTGTTGCTCTGGCATTGCAAACTGGTTCTGCTGTTATTGGTATCCACAGCTACGGCAAAGGCCCTGGCACTTTCTTATTGCTCTGCATGTTTAAACCTGTTGTTACTGTTAGACCAGGGACAAGTTACACATTTGGCAATCTTCCCACCAATGAAGATTTAGGTTTAGAACTTAAAGACAATAAAAGGAACAAGAGCCCATGTCCTTTATATAAGAACACACTCCAGATCTTTGGCATATGTCACATTGTTGAAGTAGTATTTCCCAAACATGGTAAACAACTCAATTATGTGATTTCAATGAAGTTGGTGATTTATTAAAAGAGAAGGGGGGAAAATCAAGTTGTAATACACTCAATAATATGATTACAATCATCTCTCAAAGATTAGAGGATTAGAAGAATCTAAGAGGATAGATTTAAAAACCAGAGACAGGCTAAGACCATTAAGTGATCAAACTGTTTTGTAAATAATATGATGATCAAACTGTTTTAAACACAGGCAGGCAGGGTAAGTGCAACGTGTGACTAAGCTGACAGCACTCAGTTTCCAAAGAAACAGTGAATAATTAAGCTGCTTGCTAGTAAGAAACTTACTTACTCTTTTGTTTTTACTCCTTCTCAATGAATTGTGCTTGAAATATCCCAAAATATACCTAATTCAAAACTGAGGGATTCCCCCAGAAGAGATATATAGATTTAAGAAGAAACCACAAGTGTTTTAAAGAGTCTCTTATATTAAAAAAAAACAAACCTCAAAACAAACACACTTTTGAAATAACAAAATATTTGATGTTTATTAATTATATATTAAATAGATGAGTTATTTCAGATACATTTACTAGTAATTATAATTTTAACTATAAAACTTAAAATATGAGGAAAATCATACTATTATAACTTCTCTAAAGAGATTGTAATATTGATATAATGATATCATTAATTGGATGGGAAATATATCAATAGGAACCAATAGCAAGAAATATACCAAGCAATATCATAATGTAAATTAAATTATTATTTAACAAATAAACTTGTATAGTCACATCAAGTTTTATCTTCTCAAACTAAGCGTATTATTACTGACCTCCTATAAGTTAAGCGAAAATACTTGTCCAAAGTCCCCAATTTGTTCTAATACTTTAAGCCTATTATTTTGAGCAACAGTCTGAAGGCCCAGGGTATGTAATGACTGGTAGGATGTGATCCAAATTTAAAATGTTACCACACACACACACACAAGTCCACTCTGATGTACACATAATCTGTAATAATTTCTTTCATTGTCTATCCTTTTTTAAAATGTTATTAATTTTAATGAACATTTACAGAGATTTTGGATTTTCATTCATTCATTATTGCACTTTTTTCTTTACCCCCCTCCCCCCCAGTGTCTATCCTTTAAAACAAGAGCCCAGCTAGTTCTTCATACTGTAAATCTGTTCAATAAGAATGACAGTAGCTTTACTTTTATATAAAATACAAGCATCATAAAGAAGAAAATATGATCGTATTTAGGACTGTTGGACAGCATCATTTTGAAAGCTTTAAAAGGCAACTCCCAGGAAAAGTCATAAATCAAGTGGCATCCCGGTAAAGTGTCTGGGCTAGCAAGAAAAATCACAGTTACCTCGTCATGGGGTCTTTGCCCTAACTACTTTTAACTTTCTAAGTTTCCCTGGATCTGGAGATCACACTTTCAGAAAGAAAAATTTTCCTAACTAGTACTTGGCCACATCCCTCTGGGAAACTACTTCAAGTTCAAGTACAGCAACTTGTTCACCTGCCCACAGGGGGCAGCCGACATCAGGTGAAGGAGAGGGAGTCAGAAGAGGACGCAAAGGTGCGGGCCAGTGCTGGTTCGGCCTCCATCCAGGGGCCAGACTTGGACAAATCACTTCCTCTCTCTTAGGACTTCAAGTTCCCTCCTCTTGGTGCTTGGGTTCAATTTCTAAGGCACTTTTCAGCACTAATAATGGGTAATTTAATTTTCTTTTAGTTTTCTCTAAAAAAGTGAGCCCAGAAACAAAGGTGTAAAGGCCTTGAGGGGTAAGGTGCTGTGACTTCTGCAGGCCCTAAAGGGGCCACGAGGCGGGGTGTGTGTGTGTGTGTGTGTGTGTGTGTGTGCAGGGGTGCAGGGAGAGTTCAGGGATCTCATTCAGTCCGTCCCCGGAAAATCAGCAGGCTGGGGTTCGCCTTTGCCAGCATTTCCTTGCTCTTAGATGCCCAGGTCGCTTCCGCAGCATGATTAATTTCTACTGAGGACCCGAAATAACTTTTCCTTTATCTGCTCAGACAAGATCTCAGACCCAACAGTCAGAGGACTTTCAAAGGCTGATTTCAGGCTTGATGCACTCCCCACCTGCTAGACCCGGTGTGGTTACACGAGTACAACTATGAATATTACATTCTGTCAAGGAAACAAACCGTGCAAAGAAACGAAAAAGAAGAGGGGGGCACAGGGCTGGGAAGAAGGAGGGGAGCGGGAGGAAGTGCCTTGCGGCTGCTACCGTGATTCTAGAAAAGGGGTTGGGACTCATTTCGCTGACCTGGTTAATAATCTCTGCGGAGTTTAGCAAGAAACGGCTATGGGGCCCGCAGCCGGGTTTCTCCCCCCCCCCCAAGAGACAAGTTCAAGGCTCCCACCCCTCCGGGGCCTCCTCCCTTCTTGGCTACCTGGGTGCAGTCGGGAATCCGCCCCGCGGGGGCAGCCGCGACCTTGGGGTGCAGGGCCTTTACCTCCTTCTTGTCCCCTCCTTCCCTCAGTTCCAACTCTTAATTTTTTTTTTTCTTTTAAAAGGATATTTTAAAAGGACTCCCCTGCCTGTCACTTATTGTGTCTCAAAAGTGAAGGTGCAAACCTCTCAAGGGGTTGTTCCTCAGTCTGTGCAGCTAGGTCCCAGGCAAGGCACAGCGACTCCAGGATCCCTCCCAATTCACCTCCGTATCCCTCCTGGGGACTCCCTGGCCGGACAGGCCCTAGGAAGTCACCATAGGTCCACCTATGCTCTCTGCAACATCCCAGCGCCACGCGGGATCAGTGACTGCTGATCGAAAGCCAATAAATATAAGAAAACTCAAGAGCCCAGAAGCAAAACGAGCGAACGTGCTTTGTAGTCACGGGAATAACACTTGACTAGTATCTGCCCGCTCTCCCGGCTCGGCCAGGGCACCCTAAGGTGCCAGGCCCCCAGCGCAGGAGGTGCTCTGTCCACGTGTGTGCGTGCTCGGCACCCAACCTACCGCCCACGGGAAGGGCCCGCAGGGGCTGGGTCCCGGTTGCATGGTAGAGGCCTACGGTGCTGCAACTCAGGTCCCTTGCCACACCGTGAAGACAGTGATGGCCATGGGATATCTTCTGCCCACGATTGCTCAAAAGGGAGCTCGCGTGAGTCAGGCCGGGAAGTTGGGAAGACCAGGGGAGCTGCAAAGCCAGCAATGACAGTTCAGACGTGCAGCTAGCCCCTTCATCCTCGGTCCCCTCTTTCCACCACCCGGCCTTAACGCAGGGGATTTCACCATCAGCCAAGCGAGCCTCCCCAAGTGCCGTGACATGTGCAAGGCGGGCGTGTGTCCCTGTGCGCGCGCGCCTATGCAGTGCCTGCACTCGAAATAAAAGGACTCAGGAGGACTATGATTCGAAATCTTCAAAATCCAAGCTTTAAGCCATTTGCAAACATAACAAGCCGTTCCCACCCCTGAAATCTACTTTGCAGTCGTCTGTCAGCTGACACTTCTTAGCCTCCACAAAGAATGAATGAAATTTACATGAACTACCTGCAGCTATTAAACAATCCGACATCTTTCCTGATATCTGCCATATGCTCTGCACTTCCAATTCCAAACACATCTCAGTGCACTCAGAAATTGCTCAGAGACTCCCTCGCCGACAGCGGGGACACCAGCCAGGCACCTGATGGAGTCCGTGACGCTGGTGGGCAACTCTGTCCTCAGTTGGAACGTGCAGCTTTGCACCCCCCCCCCCAAAGCAAGGTATCCCTGTGCAACTTGCAGAAAGAACCTCCAGGCGTCCTCCCCAAAGTCCAGCTACACTTCCCCAGCACAAACGCTTTGATCCCCAGGTCTCTGGAGCAGCTGTGTGACTGCCTGGGTCTGACAGGGTCTCCAGTTCTCACTGGATCTGACAGCCTTGGAGAAGTAGCTAGAATTCCCACCTGCTCTTGGACGCCTCCCGCCCCGAGCGCTCCTGCCCCGCGCCATCCACCCGGGCTCCCCGTTACCTGTGCCGGGGTCTCCGGGCCATGGCGCGGCGGGCACGGGGCTTGGTCGGGCACCGTGGGGACCGCACGGGGGGCTGTCGCCTCCCGCTGCCCGCCGCCTGCCTGCGTCCCTCCCCGGGCTGCGCAGCGCCGCTCCGCACTGGCCAGGCGAAGTTTCTCAGGAGAGAGAGGAGGAGTAGGAGGAGGAGGAGGTCGCAGAGGAGGAGGAGAAGGAGGAGGAGGAAACAGGTTGATATTAAAGTATAAACTCTGTAAACAGAGATGCCATCAAACAAAGAGCTTTGGACACTCCCCCTCCCGCCAAATCTGGCGCCCCTGCAGTGCGCACGCGCCCTGCCCGCCGCCTCCGTGGTCGCCCTGGCTGCCGCCTGCGGGGTGCTTGCCCGGCCGCCCCACTCCCAGTCGGCGCCCG